GAGAGAGAGAGAGAGAGAGAGAGAGAGAGAGAGAGAGAGAGAGAGAGAGAGAGAGAGAGAGAGAGATTAGGCGCGACGCCACTTTGTCAAAATGCCTCGATCGATAAGGTTCCACACTCCCCCCCCACACAGGGAGACTATCACTTTGTGAACACAGAGGGATCGGGAGTGGCCGCCGCTGCTTTTGGACTATTTGGATTTCGACCACGACAGACTTCGAATTCAAACCACCAGACGTTAGAAATTTGGGGGACCGGCAGCACAAGTCCATGAGGGCTACCAGTAGCACAGAGTGGAGAATCGGCAGAGTGGTGAATATGGAAAATGGGATGAATTTGCGCTATAGGCTATTTCGCGGTCGAGACAATTGTTTTGATTTTTTTAAATATTTTTCCTGAAAAGATCATGACCAAATCTACGGGCCCTCAAATTTTCAGACTTGTGTACGAGTTCTTCTGAGCGTGAAAAATCTTTAAAATAGGGGTACTTTTCCCCTTGGCCCACAAGTTGTTATGTGCCAAAAATAAAAAAAGTGACGAATTGGCGCGACATTTATTTCATGGTTTAAACGATTTTATTTTATTTTGTTGATATTTTTCCTGGAAAGATCACGACCTGGCCTACCCGATATCGAATTTTCAGATCTTTTCTCCAATTATTCTGCGTACGAAAAATCGCCAAAGTTGACGCTAAAAAATTGCAAGATTGGATCCGCCTGCGCCTTCCAGTCGGCGCCACCCCTAAAAACCCGCCCTAACTCACCACAGGGCTTGCGTCCATGCCGTTTCAGATTCGAAATTTCAAGGCCCTAATGCCACGGGCAGCTACCGGTCCTGCACTTCCTTGAACTACCTATTTCCCACGAATTGGACCCCCAGCAAATACACCACCCTTCCAACTACCGCATCTTTTGGTGACGACGACGAAAAATGTTCCCAGGGCATAAAAAACGCAATGTTCCTAGGGGGGAAAACGCAACCCTGACGGGCTGCGAACAACCGCATCCCTACGCGAATTCTTATAGGTTATTTCCCTTGTCGTGAGTCTTTCCCATGCCCTGCAACAGCAGGGTCATGGGCCTGCAATGGCGGTGTTGTGGTGCCTCCTCTCTGCCCTTCACCACTTTTGGTGAGTGAATTCGAATAAAACGTGTATGTTTTCTATTCGAGGAACTCTGCTATTCGAGGAAGGTGGACCCGCACCGTTTCAATTTCGAAAAAGGACTGCRGCCTCCTCGGCCTCCTACGTGCAGCTACCGGTCCTACGCGGTCCTGGACCAAAACCCGTGCGGTCCCACGGGCAGCTACCGGTCCGGCAGTTTCAAATAAGATGCCACCACCCCCTAAACTGCCATCCCTTGTTTTTCCAGCCTTCCAACGACCGTATAACAAAACGACAACGACAAATGTTCTCAGGGGCATAAAACGCACCCCGTCAGGGGTGCGAATACAACTGCATCCCTACGCGAATTCTTATAGGTTCTTTCCCTTGTCGTGAGTCTTTCCCATGCCCTGCAACAGCAGGGTTATGGGCCTGCAATGGCGGTGTTGTGGTGCCTCCTCTCTGCCCTCCACCACTTTTGGTGAGCGACTCACAGTCCCGGCCGGTCCCAGAAGCCCGGGTTTGTCTTGTAGCACCCACTGGGGACTGGGGACTGGGGACTGGGGACTGGGGAATGCTCAAACTGTGGTGATTGGTGGAGCCTTTTGGTGAGCAAACAGTCGTGTAGTGAGTACTCACCACGGGACCACGGGGCTAGGTCCCACTTACACGAATTAAGAGATATTGACCGTAGATAGCATAGATCAACGGTCAGAATCTCGTAATCCGTGCAAGTGGGACCTTGCCCCGGGAAATCGAGGTTACAGTAGAGACTGGTGAAGCGCGGGCCTTAGAGCATACGCACAAGAGCACTATCTTACACGTATGTGATCGGTTTGCCGTCCCGTGGCGGATGTCTGTGGACGGAATCACGTCCAGAAGTAAGTAGAATGTCGTATAGTATGAGTATGCGCTTATTGTCAATCAAAGACGTGTGAGTACGTACCCTTCTTGTCAATCAAAAACTAACTTCTTCTTCTACTTGCTCTAGGGAGTGAGAGCAAGGCGGGCGTGATCTCGAAATTGCCGAAAGAGGGACGGAAGGGGGAATTGTGTGTGCTTGGAGCAGAGTAGAGTAGCGGGGGGGAGGAACGGATAGGTGGTTTTTAGCAGAATCGAGGGCGCGCGCGCGCGAGCGCGAATTCGCACCCACGAATGCACACACATGACACACAGACAAAGTTCAACCTCATGCGCGCGCGCGCGAGCGCGAATTCGCACACACGAATGCACACACATAATAGAGAGACAAGTTCACACGTCATGCGCACAAAGAATGGACACACGAGTTCGATCTCCTGATGCGTCGGTGAAAGTCCGACGAAACAGTTTGTCACGTGACAATCACCCACTTTTTCTGCTGGAGTTGTATTGAGCGAATACACGACAGAGAGAGATCGATAGTCGAATAGATAAGATAGATATACAGACAGACAGACAGGTAATAGATAGTCATAGATAGGTATTGAGAAGAGCGAGCGAGCGAGAGCGCGCGCAGAAGAGAGAGAGAGAGAGAGAGAGAGAGAGAGAGAGAGAGAGAGAGAGAGAGAGAGAGAGAGAGAGAGAGAGAGAGAGATCCCATGGAAAGGGTGTTGGAAGGTGGCAGTAGTGGTATTCGAGAAGTTGTAGAGGGGAGAGAGCAGCATAGCGTGGAGGACTGGTCGTCCAACAGAGTTGAGGACTGGTCATCAACGAGAGTGGAGGACTGGTCGTCCGCTCATTATCAGCTGATGGTCAAAGCAGCGTGGGGTTAACCGATGATTGCAGATCGTCTGTGGTACTGACGAGACCAGTACAGGTTTTCTGTTTTTATGTGTCTTTTCCAACGTAAAACGATTTGTGGGAAATTAGAATTACTTGCAAGGAGATAGTAGTTTTTTTTCGTCGTCGTTTTTGCGATGGGGGAGGATAGAGTTTGTATAGCCGACGAAGCGGTAGTCGTCGGAGGGGATGGTGGAGAAGAAGGGGGGGGGAGGTTTCTGCGGAGTAGCAAGGGAGGTGAGGACAGCGATGACGGAGTCGGGGCGGAGGAGTTGGTGCGGCAACTTCGAGAGAAACTGGCGATGGTCGAAGCGAAGAACGTCGCCTATGTTAAATTTCTGCGCAAGCTGGAAGAAGATCCTGGACCGCTGATGTGTGTGAGGTGTCAGGCGGAGGTGCGGAAGCGCCTGAGAATGCGACGAGAGGGGGAGTGCGCGGAGGAGGGGGAGGGGGAGGGGGAGGGGGGGGATTGGTCGGCGGAAGCGAACGTGGTCCCGCCGACCATGGAGGCCAGCGAGGGAGGTCAAGCGGACAGTGGTAAGGCGGGGAAAGGTACGCGGCAGAGCGGGGAAGACCTCAGAGATAATCGCGACGGCAAAAACGCGGCAGCGAAGGACGAGAATCGGGGAAACGGAGGAGTAGGAGGAGGGGAGGTGGTGGAGGAGGTGGTATCACACCTTCGCGGCGACGACGGGGGGGTTGATGGGGGTGTTCGGGCTTCTGGTGAAGGAGGA